AAGGGATATTGTTCTACTAGGGAGTTTTTAATTGGTTTTTTAAGGACCATTACTCCTGCTTAGTCGGGTTCTTTCCCCACTGCAATCCGTAGCCCTTACCCCTAAACGACATATCCATACCACTCCAGCCTTTGATCCTTCTGGCGCCCCCTCGCCCCATTTACACCAGATTCAGGCCCAGGAGCGCTTCGGGAGCCTCAGAGGCAGCCGGTCGGCCGCATGCGCCTCAGCACAGGGCGTGGGCATTCCTTCCTTATTAAAGATTTTTCCTAACAACAATAGAATAATTATGATCCTCAAGAGAGCAGCGTTCTCCCTCTTCCCGGCCTCCCGATGTCAATCCAGATAGAGTCATCACGGGGGTGGCCTCCTCTCTCTCTCTCTCCTCCTCCTCCTCCTCCTCCTCCTCCTCCTCCTCTCTGGTACAAGAGCGCAGGAAGGTAAAAGTTAAATGGACTAGTTGGTTGCTGCTGCCGCTGCTGCTGCTGCTGCCCTGGGGTGGGGGTAAGGACGGGGGTTGCGGGGCGGGGCTGCCTGGGACGGGCCGCCGCTTCTGCTCTCTCTGGAGCCGGTCAAACTGCACAGCCACTTCCCCCAGGAGTTTCTCTTTCATCTCCCCGCTGCTGGCGCCTGCAAACAGCCTCAGTTTGTCTGCAGCGTCTCTCCCGCCCTCCTCTCGCTCTCGCTCTCTCGCTCTCCCCCTTCGTCCTCGCCCCTCCTGGCTTCCCAGCCGCAGAGACTCCGGAGCAGGGCGCATATTTCCCAGCTGGTGTCATGGAGCAGAGAAGGGGCCGTCCGGCCGAGCCCCTCACCCACCCATTCCCCGTGTGCCCGTGTGCCCGTGGGATATTGAAGGCAGACTGGCCCTCGCAGTGGCTTCTCTCTGCGAGAGAGAACCATCTGAAGGATCGTCGCATCACTGAACGGTCCTGTGGTGATCTTGCGATCCTTTCCTGCCCTTTGTTAAAGGGTTTTCGCACTGTGCGCTCTAATAACATTGAAACGAGAGTCAATTATTGCCATCGGAACGGGGATACAGAATACGTCCCCTTCCATTGGGGTAGGGGACCTTTGCGCCTGATTCAGGCCGATTCAGAGGTTAATATGGTATTATTTATTATTAATATATCGCCCATCATCAAAAGATCTCAGGGTGGTTCGCATAATAAAATACAAGAGAAAAACACAAACAAATTATTAAAACAAAACAACAAAACAAAAGTCCCCATCCCACAAAACGTCTAAAAGGCTGTAGAATATTAATCAGCCAAAGGCCTGGCTGAAAAGGTATGTTTTCCCCTAGAGCCTAAGTATATATAATGAAAGGCCAGACGAAACTCCCAGGTGAGAGCATTCCACAAAGTGGAGCCACTGCAGAAAAGGCCCCTTCTTTTGTTGCCACTCTGGGAGTTCAGGTGGAGGAGGCGCATGAAGAAGGGCCTCAGGTGTTGATTGCAGAGTCGAGGATGGTTTCTATGGGGAGGGGGAGCCCTTGAGGTGCTGCGCCGGTCCTGAGCGGTTTAAAGCTTTATAGGTCAAAACCAGCACATTAGATTGGGGAAGCAGTCCTAAAGATTCAGAACCTCCGTCACTATCATCATCTACTAGGTCTTTTTCTTTCTTTCTTTCTTTCTTTCTTTCTTTCTTTCTTTCTACATTGGGTAGAGTACAAAAAATGGCAGGGCAGCAGTGGATTTTTCTGAATTGTTGAAGGGATAAGTAACTTGCAATGTAGCTGCTGAAAAGTTTTCATTGAAAAACAACAACAAAATCTGTGGGGACCAGTGTAATAGCCTGGGTTCTTTATGGTTATGAATATTCGAGGGGATCTCTTTGATCTCAGATGCACAGGTCTTTCTTATCTCTGGAAGGCCAGCGACTGATGTTCAGAGATCCTGGTCTGCTGCCCCTTAGCAATATTGTTGGTCTCTTTTGCTACCCAGCCACGACTAAGTCATACTCCTTCCCTAAATTCTAAACAAAATAAAATCAGGATATCCAGGCTGTTGTCATTTTTTGTTCTCTGATACCTTTCCTGTGCTTTCAATCCAGTTTTTAAATTCTGGGTTTAAATTCAGGAGCGACCTAGGTCCAGTTTACCAGACTTCGTTCAATGTGGGAAAGTGGCAGAGTACCTAGAAAAGTCAGGGAGAACAAGCCGAGACCTTTTGCCTATTCGCGTTTCCTTCCAAGTAAGGCCTATCGAGGTCAAGCAGGCCTGCCTAGGCTTGCAGCCTGCGACTTTTAATCCTAAAGCGCAAAAGCCACCGGCTATTTTCAGGTTTGCTAACTTGACAAACAAACACAGGATTGATCCCTAGAATTAGTGGCCACAGAGATCTGTAATGCTTTTGGAGTTGCAGGAAACACACCCTACGGGAAAAAGGAAACCCCTCTTCCAAGGAAAACATGTCCCATTGGCCATCTTGGTGCGAAGGATGTATTTTCGTTTAAACCGATCCCAACAGCCCGATCTCTCAAGGCTTTGGGCTTAAAACCCGTGGAACTGTGAGAGGCTGGGAAGCAAGCAAGTTCCATTGGAAAGTCTTCCCAAGAGTCCACCCTGTAGTCCTAGCTAGACACGCGAGCTTGATGGAAATGCACATTGCACTCAGTGGGGCCTGTGTGGATCTGACCGTTCAGGCGACTCTGCAGACAGGTGACACTTCTCTCCGTCAGATTGTATTGGCTCTCCTCTCACTAATCTCTCTCCCCATGGGACATATCCAAGCCACCGAAATACTTCATTTCAAGAAATGGGTTAGGGTACAGAGTATTAAACAACTCAGAATCAAACGTTTAGGTTCAATGAGACTGGGAGATGAGAACAAGCTAAATAGGAAGAGAGAGAGAGAGAGAGAGAGAGAGAGAAGAGAGAAGAGAGAGAGAGAGAGAAAGAGCTGCTTAGAGCTGGAAAAGCGATTCACGTGACCGTCTGAAGCCGTCTGCAGCCAGCGTGCCCAGTTCTGTAAACCAGGTCACCGTGCCCTAACCCCAAGCCTGCCTCTATTCTTCCCGGGTAAAAACGTTGCATTTATTCGGTGTAATTATCTGTAGCCCTTCGGCCGATCGGCCCTTGCGCTTCATTGTTCCCTGTTTACATACATTGTTTCCTGATTTTCATCAATTCTCATTTACCTGTCATTAAGGGGAGGAGAATCCGGGGGTACCGAGCACAAGAGCAAAGGTGGGCGTTTTAACAAGTTGATCAGACAATGAGTTGTTTTCCGTCTCTCTCTCTCCCCCCTCCTTCACTTTCTGCACATTTTGCAACTTGACAGACTAAATCAGGACCTGAATACAGCAGGAAGAAGACGACAGTATACAGCATCTTCCCAAATAATTAAAGTTCTGCCGTTTACATGGAGGAATCCGAATCATGGTGCCTTTGTGGGTCCCATTACCCACCTATCCTAAAATAGGCTTCAAGTCAATGGCATTTGAAAGATTGGGTGTGCGTGCAGGAGAGAGCTGCAGAACTGGATGCATGTACTTATTTGAGGGGCACTAAAAATAAATAAAAAGTAAACCACTCACAAACGTGCAAACGCCAAAATAGGAGGAAAAGAGAATTCAAAAGTCGCTGACCTAGGCTTGCAAACGCGAAAATAAATTCCACTCGAACTAAATATAAAGGGCAGGCGTGCAGAGGTTCCGAATTCCAGGTTGCATATGAGGGGAGGTTTCTCTTTACTGCACGTTTACTTCGAATTAAGTACCACTGTGCTCAGTGAGATGCGCGCCAAAATAAGAGCAGGTAGGATTACGATATTTCACGCGTTTCTTCTTGACCCTGGAAGTCGATGTGCCTTCGTGTGTACGGCCCTTCAAGAATTCGAAAGGGGCAGCACAGAACCTTGCAAATCAATGGCTACAACATTACCATGCATAGCTTTCACCTTTCCCCTTTTCTTGCGAGGAATCCTATTCGGAATAAGGGACTTTCCCTTTAAAAAGGGGAAACGCTGACAGCTTTGGTCTCACTATGGTCTCACTGGAAAGCGGGCTGCACCCTAACGTTCCTTTCGCCTTTAGAAGCGACTCTGCGGTGGGAATAGAGTGGAGGTGGCAGGGATAGATTAGGTTTTCAAAGCAGAGCGACTGTCTCTCGTACCCCCGGCAGATGCACGTACACGATCACTTAAAAGCTTCCGGCAGTCCTCGACGGGAGAGCCCCTTTCATGAAGGCGGAAGCAGTAATCCTTGGTACCTGGCTGAAGGTACCTAACTATCATTTTTAAAGATGAAATATTAACGATCACGCCGGGAAAATAATGAGAGCTAAAAGCAGATTTTAGAGAAGATGATGTACAGCGTCCGCCTGTCCCAATGGAAGTGATGGACTGGTGGACACAAAGTGGTGGGGTAGGCAAGAAAAGCTCCTCCGTCCCCGTCCCCCCATCCTTCAGTTCACCCTGCACTTCCAAGCATGGAAAGAGCAACAACATTTAAGAACAATTAGAACAAACTTTTCCTAGCATCAGCGATGCAAAAACAAACGACAATAAAGTCAGGGGGTTTTGATGGTAAGCCTATCAAGGGTTAATAGTTGTGTATTTTTCACGGTTTCTCCTCCCCGGAGGTGAAGAACACGGGAAGACTTCAGCCTTACATTCGTTTTACGCACACACACACCCATCCTAAACAAACCACGCGGAACTCGAAAAGAAATGTTATTGCAAGTAAATGGGATTTATTGTCGTTGTAAATATTGCAGATGATGAGGGAAGAGAATTAGAGAATAGATTTTCCTCCATCAGATTCCTCCTCAACGCTACCTGGGACTCTCGATCGCTCGAGCAGCCGAGCTGTAATCCTGCCTGTCTGACACTTCTGTTCCCACACACACACACACCCCTCCACGTTTTAATAACCAACAATAGTTACCAACGGATAATTAAGCTGCTATCATTACGACATTAAATTAATTACGAAGCAAAAAAAAAATGATTTGCTTTTCTCGGGCTGGCAATTGAAATGTCACTTTAAAATTAACACACCTCGTTGGCTTAAATGGGATGAAGTCGAAAAGTGGGACGAGGACATACGCGGGCATCCTGGAGGCTGTTTGATGCGCTGGCCGATGAAGGAGTGCAGAGTCAGGCTCCCGGCTTATTAAAGATGCATCTGTTTGTCATCAAGGGTTAGGCGCCTGCAATTTACATTACTAACTTAATCATTGGCGGCGGGGGGAGGACTTATCGGTCCCTCTCCAATGCATTTAATTTGTTCTCTTATAATAGACTACTTACAGCTGCAGGGAGAGGTTAGTAAGCAGTAAAGGAGTCCTCCCTTACTGCTAATACGATCCATCCAAAGGACTGTCTAGAGATGTTGTGCAGAGGAGTTTATTGGAGCGGATTAAATCCCAAATGGTCTGCCTTTTGATGCCCCTGCCCCACCCCTTCCTCTCCGGTTCACTCAGCTGCTCTGGACTATCCGCTTACCGCGTTCAAAGCACTGGTCGTAGAGATCTGAAAGGCCCTGTCTGGAAAAGAATGCTGGGTCTCCAACTCCCCAAAATAAAAGTCATCTGTCCCCTTCGGAATTTGGAAGCGCACCTTCCCTGCGCCCGTGTTTATTCTCCAGCATGATTTGCAATGTTCTGGAGGGGCGCTTGGAAAGGAGGCCGCTTCCCTTACCGATAAAGGCGCGCACAGAACCTTGACCACTACGTCCATTTCACCCACCCAGCCGCCCCTCTGTAACCTGGAAGTGAAACGTGCCATCGCTTCGCTGCCACCCTTCCTGGGGTCCCTACAAGACACCCCCTGCCCCCCGATTCCCCTTCTTGGGAGGAAGATCTTATTGATGGTGGTGATGGGCCCCCTTAGGCTACTATGGGCTGTGGGCGATCGCTGCCTGAACGCGCCACGTTGGCGCCCCTGGAACAGGCAAGATGGCCCGCGGGGGGCATACATTGGTATTTTATTTCGGGAGACTCTGAGTATTATATAATAAGTCGATGACCTTGGCAGGGCCTCGGTGCGCTCTTGAGCGTTGGGTTGCCAGGGCTCACCGGCCAGGACTCTTGCTGGCCGGCAGATTTCGCTTTCGGGAAGGCAGGAGTTTTCCAGAGAGCGAGCGAGCGAGCAGGATGGGGGTGGGATCTGCCCTCTCCGAGCTTCCTCTTCGTATCATCGGCCCTAATTACTCCGCTGACTTTCCTGTTTTGGCAAAGTTACAGCGCTGGAAAGCTCCCTAATCACACAGCTCCGCTCGCTGCCCGTGTCATTAACTTCTAATTTATTTAAAAGGAAGGCAGAGTGCGGGGGAGGGGAGGGGAAAAAAAACCTCCTCCGCTCCGACCCGTCCGGAGCCAATGGCGTGAGTCAGCGCGTGACGTCACGGCAGGGAGGCGCCTCCCATTGGCCGAGCCGCGCTTACTCAACTTCCCAGAGGAGGAAACGGCCAGAAGTCTCCCAAAAAAGGGGAGGAAAAAAAAGTTGCTCGGCTGATTCGGGGCTGCGGCGAGCCGAGCTAGTGCGTCCGGGAGCGAGCGCGAGAGATCGAGGGGTCGGGAGACCGAGGAGCAGCAGCAGCAGCAACAGCAGCAGCAGCCGAAGGGAACGCCGGGCGGCAGCAGCAGCAGCAGCTCTCGAGGCGGAGATCGTCGCGAAGCTGCGCCGCGATGTCTTCTCCGTCGAAGGCGAAGGAGGTGTTCTCGTCCGACGAGGAGGGCCCCGCCGCCGCCGGGCCCGAGGAGCGGCGCCCCGTCAAGGTGTCCAGCTTGCCTTTCAGCGTCGAGGCACTGATGTCCGACAAGAAGCCCCCTCGCGAGACGGGCGGCGGCGGCGGCCTCGACGGTGCGGGCTTGGGCACTTCCAGGAACCTGCTCTTGCCGGGTCACGGCGCCAGGGAAGCGGCCAGCCCCGGGGGGCTTACAAAAACCTTCGAGACGTCGTCGGTTAAATCCGAGAACTCCGAGGACGGCTCGTCGTGGATCCCGGAGGCCGGCAGATACTCCCCTCCCCCAAGTGAGTCTCGGGATCGGGAGGGTTGCGAGGGAAAACATCCCTCGGGGGGTGTGGGATGGAGGGGGTGTGGGGAGAGGGGAGGAAATAGTTAGCAGACTCTTTCTCCGGCCGTCGAGGGACTAGCCGCTTCGCCGCAGTCTGAACTCCCTCCAGATCCGAACTTTCGGGGCAGCAGCAGCAGCAGGAGGGGATCGAGGCGCTGCGCCGGATCCCTCCACCTAGTCTCTCGGGAAGGGACTTTTGCAGGGCGAAGCAGAAAGCACGATTCCAGTGAACAAGGAGGAGGGAGCCCTTTCAACCCCATAGCCAGCGTTTGCGGCCAAGCCTTCATTTGGTTTGCATGTAGTAAGGAACAGAAGAATGACCAAAGAATTCCGCGCGCTCCCGCCGCGATCTTCCTTAGGCTGGACCCGCCCGGAACTGTCCAAAAAAAACCTCCGGCGGCCGAGACGCCTCGAGAGCCGGCTGTTCCAGCGCCAGCGACCCTCTCCTCGCCGCATTAGTCATGCCTCCTTCCAGCTGCCGTTGGCAAGAGGGAGATGGTCTTGCGCTACCGCGTCTAGGTTGTCCCCCCCCCATCCCCCAGGATGATGGATCGCAGTCGAATCTCTCCTTTCTCTCGCGACGCCTTTTGAGGGACTCTCGCCTAGTTCAGTCATTTTAATTTTTGCAGTAGTTCACCCCCCCCCCACGCTGTCTTCTCGGTAGGCAAAGACATGGCAAGGCGGGGAATCGACGGTGGTTTCTTATAATCTCCCTCGGTTGTCTTTCGTGGTGCACCTGCAGCAGCGGGAGCAGGCAGCCTCCGGCTCCTCCGCGCACCTCGGGCTTTCTCTCTTTACCCTTAACTGCGCGCCTCTCTCAATGGGGCCCATGTAGGGCCTCTAAACTTAGCCCAGGGACAGAATAAATGGGGAAGATAGAAGCGGGAAAGATCAACCTTCTTGTTTCTTCCTCACTAGTCGAGAACTGCCAGCTCCATTGAACCTGGACGGCAGTTTCCAGGCTGTGAGAAAATGCGCTCCGTGACAGCATCGCCCATCGCTTTGGCTTTCAAAGGTCTCGTCGCTTAAAAAGGTTTCTGCAAACCACATTGTTTTGGAGCACTAGTTTCCTGGGACAGATTTCTGGACAGTTTCCCAATGTTCTGAAACCTGTTTTATTATTATTAATTTTATATTTATGATTTTCACCATTAAAACAGTTGTTAATAACCCAAATACCAATTACACATTTAGTTTTGACTTTCCCCCATCCTTTCCATGGTTCACTTATTTTCTTTTCCATTACATATTGTAATTAATCCCTATATTTTCATTTTCTCAGTTTTATATCTCAATAATGGTTACTGCTGAATTTACTCTGCTACTGTTACCTTTTTAATATGCTTACAGTGATTTTCCAAATACAATCAACAAAACATTTCCAATCTCCCTTAAATATTTTTTCATCTTGATCTCTTATTCTGTTTGTCAGTCTTGCCGCAAACATTCTGAAATCTGTTTGGAGTCTGAAAAGTGTGGCTTCCTCCCTCGCGCCCAACCATGGCTTTTCTTAATGCCTTTGATCCATCTTTATTTCATTTTCTACAATTTTCTCTTTATGCTCATAACAGAGTTCTTGATACTGTTGTGCAAGTGCATGCACACATCTGTCCTTATCGCAGCCCACCTCTGCTTCATCTCATTCTTTGGATATTGGGGTGGTGGTGTTGATAATGGAAGGTACTGTGTTTCTTTTAATGTTAAAGGGGTAACTGTGGTGATAGTAATGCCTATATTTCCCCCCAGAAGCTGTTCCTCTCTCGGAAAACATTTTGTATGCAGCAGAAAAATAGTAAATTGATACTCTGCTTAATTGGAAATAAATTCCACTAATAGAAATATGAACAAAGAACCTGATGGAACCTTAAATGTCTGTTGTGGCATTTGCTTTCATAGGCCAGAGTTCATTTCATCCACCACAAAGTGGGATCTGTCACACGAAAAACTTGTACCAGAACAAATGTGTTGATAGCTTCCACCACACACTTTCTTTTAATGCAGTTTACTTCCAGCTAAGCTGAATCGGAGTACAAGTTGCTATATTCCCCCCCCCAATGGTGGGAAATGGGTGGCAAGGAAGAGCTGTTCTCATCATCTCTGTTTCTATACCGATTTTTCTCCGCTTGCATTTGGTAAAAGACCCCCAAAGGCAATCAAGGCCTGGCTTTTTCTTTTCTGCATTCCCTTGCCTTGTTGCCTCATCCTGCACACCTTTGCTCAGAGGTCATTCTCATCGAGTTAAGTGAGACTTAACTCCCAAGTAAACTGGCATAGGATTACACACTGACCACGACCACCCCAAGGTCCAGATAATTGTGGTTTATTCTAAATCTGAATAGCATCATTATTGATAGTGCAAGCCTAACCGTGTCCACTCTGAATTCAGCAGGACTTGCTATTATGGAGTTTATCCCGAGTTAAGTAGCATTAGGATTGCAGCCACAGACTTCTTACCAGTTTCCCTAAGCAATCAGAAACTGTTTGTAATTCTAAATACAAATAACTGGCAAAGGGTTTTGTGAGTGTGGGTTTGTTTTAACAAAACGAAGCATATTTAAGTATCCACTGGAATTTCAGTGTATTTGTTTATAGCTTTCCACAGAATTATTTCATGTCTGTGGTGCTTTTGCCTGCCTTTGGGTTTCAGGACACGAAGCCAACTTGGGTTAGGGGAACACTCATCAAAAGAATCTAACTCCCATCTTAAGACAATTTCACTTAAAAGTTATAGTTCATCTGATTTCAGTGGAACTTTTAATGGAATGCGTTTCCAACTGAAGAAAAGTTGAGGGAGTGAAAAAAATCCCAGAGGAGCTTTCTGAATAGTGGAACTGCCATTCTTCAGCGTCTATTAAAAAAAATTACTAAATTGCTCTAGACAGTGTCTCAGGTCTGGTTGACTCCAAAACTCGTTTATTTTCCACATAAAAATAGGAGTTATCTAGTGAGAGTTTATATTTCCTGGATAATAAAATAAAATGAAAGTCACTTCAAGAAAATAGTAAAAGGAGAGGATATAGGAATGGTGGGTTTTAAAAAAATGCACAAATAAGATATTATAGTACAAAATATGATATATTCCAGTATAAATGTATAGAGGTATGCTGATAGTAAAGTTAACATTGTAGATTCTCAAAATCTTTGAAACTGTTGCATCACATGACAAGGAAAAGTGGGGAAATTCATCAGAAATAAAGGGGAAATGGATTAAGGTTTTCTAGGTGTACAGACAGTATGCATAGTTAGGAGATCATTTTTTTTAATTATTACATAGATTTTAGTATAGGCATCTCCCCCTTGACGCAGCAGCTGTAATACTGTATTTTGAAAGTTCCTGTTAAAAGCAAAAGTTAAGAGCACCCATTATCTGGAACAGTATTTTTCCAAATATTCTCATACTGAAAAGTTGCGCTTTCCCTATTACCACTTAAAACAAATGGCATTTAATCTGCCCTTCTTCACATCTAGATCCAAGGATACAAGCCTAACAGAACCTCCTTTATTAAAGCTGCAATCCTATACACACTAATTTGGGGATACTCTTCCATGAAACTCCGTGCTCCTGTATAACTGAATAATTCTCCTGGGAGACTTGTTCTCATGGCGCCTTAAAGAGATTGTGCGGTTTGCAAAAAAGCAATTCCTGAACTTCAGGAGAGCGTATTGTTTTCCTGAGCAATATCTAGTTGTGCCTATAGAAATAAGCCTTCTAATTATGATCTTTGTTCAGCCACAAATATGTGTGACAGTTATTAGCAAATCAACATGTGCTTTAATTAGTGCGGGCTTGGGAAAGACTGAATGCTTCTCTTAATATGTTCCAATAACAACCCACTTGTTGCATTATGTAAACGATGAATGTCATTCCTAAATGCCATGCTACAAATCACTCATCTTTGGGCATATGGGTAAAACTTAATTTACAGCACGAGCCTAACATAAGCATGGGATAAAGCTGAGTGAAGTTACTCTCACTACCCATTCTCTGCATGCATGCACACACTTAGAAATCAACCCCATTGATTTAAATGGGGCTTCCTGACACATAAATGCATATCCAACTTTACTGTATTTTTCACCCCCTAAAAAAAAATCACCTCCTTTAAAAAGACCAAAAAGGAAAAAACCAGAAGCAAAACATTATCCCTTCCAAATCCTTACTGTGACAATAGTACCATTTATTCTGAAATGTGCCAGCTATTTAAACAATCTTAGGTTTAATTCTATTCTAGACACCGTTCGCCTCTTAAACCAATATTTCCCTCAAAACTATTCTGAAATTCTGAGGCTGCAATCCTAAACAAGCTTATTCAAGAGTAAGTCCCATTGGAAAGTGCTTAGTGAACAGACATAGAATTATACTGAAAGTCCTGCTACTGAAATGTAAATTATGCTTTAAAAAGAGTCGGGACTCTTACTATGTAAATTACAGGCTTTGGGTTGTAATGGAACAAGATATGAAACAAATTCCACTGCCTGTATTAGCTACAGATGTTTGCACACACACACACATATATGCATATGTCATAAAAAGTACATGTTGAATCAGTGTGTTGACTTCCTTTTACATTTTTTGTTGCTGGCTTAGAATACAGAGATCTAAAATGGTGATGGTGGGGAGAGCAGTCAAGACTTTGCTCCCAGATCACAAGTCTACCATTGATTTCAATGAAAGGCTTGGCAATTAGCGCAGTCACAGTGGGGGGGGGGAACCCTGTCGGACTCCCATGTCCTCAGGCAAAGCTTCAGCTAAACTTTCTGATAAAATACGTAATTCATGCTGGATAAATCATAACAACTAGTGGCTGGGGATGCATTTATTTCTATCCTTTATGAAACTTTAAAAATCAAAAAACCCACAGCCAACTACTAACTCTTTCCTTTAGTAACGCGTTCTACTTCCCACTTCGGTAAGGGCCCCTAGAAGTTCTTGCTTCTCCAGATCTTACTAAGATGAGCACATTGGAGCATGTTATGCACCTGATTTTCTGACCAGAGGTTTTCAGATGCCCTAGACTTTTTGTAGGACTCTCTGCTAGGATACCATACATAGAGGGCATTATTGCACAAAAGAAGGATGACCAACTGTTTTGGCAACAGTCTTGTTTCAGTAAGATGTTATCTTTGCAGTAGATTTTTCGTTAAAGCTCTCCATAAGGTTCTGCAAAGGCCTGGACAGTGATATGGGGATACAGGTGGGCTGTAACATCACTGTAATCGCATCCTATAGCATTCGGGAACACTGGAGCCAACACTGTTGCCATGTTGACTGTTGTTAAGGATATGAGACTTGTCAGTGTACCTTCACAGTCCTCCATCTGCTCACCTGAAATCTCTGTATCCCTTACAGCAGGCGTGAGCTTATCGGATCTCCTTTGTTTTTCACTAGATCTGCCAGCCAGAACCAAGTGCTAAGGACATACAGTTAGAATTAAAGAACAATCTGGGCTCAGGGATTTGTTTTCAGTACAAGAACAGAGCTTACAGTCCTTTCACGCAAAGTCTACTCCTCTTTAGTTTTCTTATTTCTGCAGATGGGGAAAGTGGCTGTTCCTATTACTAAATAATTGGTTTTTGGGAACCCTTAATCACCTACTCTAGGGACGCGGGTGGCGCTGTGGGTAAAAGCCTCAGCGCCTAGGGCTTGCCGATCAAAAGGTCGGCGGTTCGAATCCCCGCGGCAGGGTGCGCTCCCGTTGCTCGGTCCCAGCGCCTGCCAACCTAGCAGTTCGAAAGCACCCCCAGGTGCAAGTAGATAAATAGGGACCGCTTACTGGCGGGAAGGTAAACGGCGTTTCCGTGTGCCGCGCTGGCTCGCCAGATGCAGCTTTGTCACGCTGGCCACGTGACCCGGAAGTGTCTCCGGACAGCGCTGGCCCCCGGCCTCTTAAGTGAGATGGGCGCACAACCCCAGAGTCTGGCAAGACTGGCCCGTACGGGCAGGGGTACCTTTACCTTAATCACCTACTGGAAATTGCCCAGAGATCTCTCAGTAAATCCTGATCTACATTTTGCCCACCCTTGCCTTACAGAAACCCATTGGATTCCTACTGGTGCAAGGAGTAGAGCATAGCAGCAGAGCATGCAATAATGCTTTTAAAATGTGTGTAAAACTTGCTTGGTGGATTCTAAGATCCTCACTGTGTGGGGTATTCTATTCTGTTTTCTATCTGTACACCCAAGATGTTTTAAGCATACAATTTAAAACGTAAGATGTGAATGTAACAAATACATATATTGTACATGCAGACTCCTCAGGCACCTGCAATCAGGTGTGGCTTCCTGTCAAGTGTATTCCTGATAGCAGACCCAAATCTGCTGGTAGGTGATGTGCAAAATAGCTAGGATAGTTTCCAAACAGGCTACTATATTTTGGGGGCAGGGGGGAATCCCTGTGTACTGTCTACATTACATTAGCTGAGCTTCTGAAGGTTTCAAACAAGGAAGAAAAAAAGAACCCCCATAAAAAAAACCTTTAAAAACCTGAACTAGGATATATTGCATAGATGAAGTAAAGCAGGGGTGGCTAACAGGTAGATTGTGACCTACTGGTAGATCTTGGGGTGCCTGCAGCAGATCGTGGGACCCCTTCCCCCCAAAAAATCTTGGGTTTCTCCCAAAAAGCTCAACAACTTTGGTCAATCCAATGAGTAGATCACTGTCAGGTTTTTTTTATAGTGGGAGTAGATCAGTCTCTTGAAAGTTGGACATGTCTGATTTAAAGCATACAAAGAAATGTAATAGATGGATCATTGCTTTGATCCCGCATCAGATTTGTAAATAGGGGGCACAGTAGTTTCACAGAACAACATGTGTCTGCTACAGCCAGATTGCAAACATCCACATAATAAGCAGAAATATAGGCTATCCCTTTTAAAGTTTAACGTATCATTCCCATCTTCCATTTTTAAAAAGGGGTCCTTCTTGGTGTGTCAGAATTTCCTGTGTTCTGCTTTCTTTCATATTTGCCCTCCCATAAACATAATCTCATGCGTTCTTCTTAAGCCAACTGTCTTATCTTAGTGTTTTGATGTCTGGGGGGTGGGAGGTACAATTGGGCCTGGTTGCCTTTGTGCAGCCAGTAATGGACTATTCTGCTTGTTACCATCATCATCATAATTTTTTTAAACTATTAGCATGTGGCCCTCACCCCACGTACGTAAGAGTAAGAGCCATTGATTTAAACAGGACTTGCCTCTGAGTAGACATGGCTAGGATTGTACTGCTGTTATAATTTATACCCCATTCATACGCTGAAGGGGGATGCGGGTGGCGCTGTGGGTTAAACCACAGAGCCTAGGACTTGCCGATCAGAAGGTCAGCGGTTCGAATCCCTGCAACAGGGTGAGCTCCTGTTCTTCGGTCCCTGCTTGTGCCAACCTAGCAGTTCGAAAGCACGTCAAAGTGCAAGCAGATGAATAGGTACCGCTCTGGCGGGAAGGTAAACGGCGTTTCCGTGCGCTGCTCTGGTTCGCCAGAAGTGGCTTGGTCATGCTGGCCACATGACCTGGAAGCTGTACGCCGGCTCCCTCGGCCAATAAAGCGAGATGAGTGCCGCAACCCCAGAGTCAGCCACGACTGGACCTAATGGTCAGGGGCCCCTTTACCTTTTACCATACGCTAAAAAGGAGAGAAGAAGCTGCTTTTGCGACATTTGGCAGTGATCATCCACTCCCCCCGCCCCCCGCTCCCAGCTTTGGTAACTGATCTTTGTTTTCCTTTCCAGGACACCTGAGTCCCACAGCCTGTACGCTGAGGAAGCACAAGACCAACCGGAAGCCCCGGACACCTTTCACCACCTCCCAGCTGTTGGCTTTGGAGCGCAAATTCCGCCAGAAGCAATACCTCTCCATTGCCGAAAGGGCTGAATTTTCAAGCTCGCTGAACCTCACAGAGACCCAGGTCAAAATCTGGTTCCAAAACCGGAGGGCCAAGGCAAAGAGACTGCAGGAAGCAGAGCTGGAGAAGTTGAAAATGGCAGCCAAGCCCATGTTGCCATCTGGCTTTAGCCTTCCTTTCCCCATCAACTCCCCTCTCCAGGCGGCCTCACTCTATGGAGCATCTTATCCCTTTCACAGACCTGTGCTTCCCATCCCACCTGTAGGACTCTATGCTACTCCCGTCGGATATAGCATGTACCATTTATCGTAAGAAGATCAGAAAGCAAAGCAGCGGCGCAATCAGAGACTTTCTGGTGGATCTTGCCCAGTTCAAGAGTGCAGTACAAAAGCCAATTACTGGTCATTTTTCTGCATGTTTGTATGTGCCTTATCAAGTTTATAGGAGTTTGAAACAAAAAGCAGAGCCTGTATTCTGCAGGCTGGGGAACCAGCCAGGTGTGATCTCAACACATAGAATCTGATCCTGAAAGAGAAGGGTTGGGTTTTTTTTAACATACATGCTTAAAGTAATATAGTTTGTTTATATACTGCACATGGGGGCGGGGCGGGAAAGGAATCAATACTTAAATCATGCATTTTCGCAGCATTTCTGTTTCCCCGCGATGTTTGCAGTGGGGTGTCAAACCACGTTTTGTTTTTCAAAATAGGAGCAGTTCATTCTTTAAGGCGAGAAAGCTGCAGCTTGATCCTATGCATGTTTACTCAGAAGTAAGTCCCACCCTGTTCAGCGGCGCTTACTTCGCGTTTAAATGTGGCTGTAGGTACGTTCCCATGTGTTGTTTGACTTGGTGGGGGAAATTTAGATATAAACGTGGATTTTATTTCTAAGACCAACTTTGGAAATAAAAGCAGACTTTCAAGTAGAGGCAAGGAGTTAGTTTCTGCATTTCCGGCTGGGTTCTCTGTTGCAGTCTAGGCCTTAAATGGACGTGTAGGCAGTTGGAGTACTCTGAATGCAGAGTGCTGGGCCATGCAGCAAGGCAGTCTGCAAATATTTGACCTAGAGTAGTTCCGTTGGAATAAATGGGATTGATCCAGATAAAGGGACCTACTATGCAAAGGATTAATGCCAATGATAATTTTATTCATCCTTAGTTTGCAGTTTATTCTTGCTTATAAGACATCAAATAAGGGGTTTGTATGTATGCAGTGGCCAAGAAGGCAGGCCGAGAGCTTGAGAAGAGTTCTGTCCTGATCCCGTTCTCCCCTGGTTTGCTTCAGAATTGCCACTTGCAGTCAAGTACTTGACTTTTGGAACGATATCAGGAGGGGACACAAAATAGAGGTATGAAGAAAAGAGATGTTGCTTTTCAGAAGTGTGTGTGTGTGTGCATGCATGTGTGTGTGTGTGTACATGTCTGCATTCATGTGCAGAGAGACTATCAAAACCGTGTTGCAAAGTTGTTTTGTTTTTATTGCAATATTCTGTGTTTTAACCATTATTAGCTTATAGAAATGAATTTGTGCTTAAATGTTTCTTGAAACACCCATAGATCCAGACAAACAAACAAACCTATGGGAACTACATAGTGCCACTGACTCTAAATACAGGACTCACCTTCCCAGGCTTTTAATGTTTTTTTCAGGCTGGAAGAGTTCTGTTTAGTGTACTTGGTACTATAATAACCCATTTTTATTATTCTAATTATTTTATTATTACTATTGCTAAACTTCATGGTAAAGTGTCTATAGAGGATGCAGACTGTTGAAGACAGGACTTCTCAAAGATGTATTTTTGGCATGTTTATAAAAGAGAAAGGGCCACACGATTTGTTTTGGAGTTTTGTTTTGTTTTTGCCCCGCTACAAGCTGTGTTGTGAACCTTATCCATTAGCTCAGTTCTACCCTTTCACCCCCAGCATATTAAAATCCCTTTGAAAGGGATGCCTTGTACAATTTTATATATTTTATTGAAGATTTATTATTTCTTATCTCTTTTATTTAGAATTAAATTAAAAAACCTTGTTTAATTGTGTGTGGGTTTGTCCGTGCTTGGAGTTATTTATTTTAAAACACTTGAAGCCAAAGAAACTGTTATCATTTGTGTCTCATTTTTCAGTTCTTCAGAAATTTAAGGCTGTACAAAGGCCAAATCCGCAAACAAACTTGTGTTGCTATAATTCAAATAAAACAGAAAAATCTTATGGACCCTTTCTTCATTTAGGCTGCAATCCTATACTCACTGGGAGTAAGAACCCATTGAACTTACTTCTAAGTAGACATGTGTGGGGTTGTAATGTTCCATTACTGAATACAGACTATCAATACTGGGGTTTTGGCTTTTTCATTCATACCTGGCTTTGGTAAAGTTACTCATTGTTTACACCACTTAGTAAGTAGCAATTCTCCGGATAGAGTAAGATAATTTTTTGATTCCCTTCAAAGTGGTGACAGAGCTGGCCTCTTGCTGCTCATTGCTGCACTCACTTTGATAGGACTTGGTCTTAAGTAAGTGCATACATGATTGCTGCTCGGGTCAAAGTGAAGGACCAGGTCATTTGAGAAAATGTCGAGGACTATATTATTAAGGAAGAAGATTTTAAAATGCACAGGTACAACTGTGCTGAGCAAAGGCAAAAGCTAGCCCAGGCCGTCCATCAGAACTTGCACTGGGTATCTGACCTCTGCCAGCTTGAAATTGACTTGGTAGCTGAGGAATTGTGGAAAGGAGGTAATGTCAAGCTACTACTTGCCCAAGATAGAGACAACTCGATCCAGAAAGCCCAGATGTGTTGATGCTTTTATACACCCAAGTTGTTTGTGACTGTTGCCGGAAATCCTTCTCCTTGATTAGAGAGTGTGTTTTTGCATTCCCAACCGGTGACTAGCTGAGCTGAGGAAATTTATTACTCTTTCTTCACAGGATGAGAGACAAATTGAATTAACTGGTTTATATAGTCTGCCTTATTTTAGCTTTCTGAGGTAAAGATGCATTTTATAGGTCCTCTTGTTCCAAATACTGCATCCCTCATGACTGCCTGTGAAGTGGTGATTTTTTTTACAAAGGAGCATTTCTTTGTTCTATAACAGTCTGAACTTTTGAGAATGAAGGAAAGCTCTGCTTTTAAAAGGGAGAAACATAAACAAAGGCGTCTTGGATTATAGAACAACAATCCCCATGGAAAGGCTGGGATTGTTTTATTTTATTTTAAGAAGAAGCTTTAAAAAGCGACCAGGTCAGCATCTATCAGAATTAATGTCTGGAGAATCTTGACGCTACAGAGGGATTAACTAGGCATCCCTTCTGACTCTTGATTTTCCATAATAATACGTGGCACATATGCAGCATTTTTAGACAGGCCTCCGTAGGTTTATGCAGAAGTAAGTTCTACTAAGTGCACTGAGACTTAACATCACAATCCTAACCATGTCTGTTCAGAGTAAGTCTTATTGAATACCCTGTGGCTTACTCCCAGGTAAATGTGGCCTCAGATGCACTGGAATGTAGTCCTAGACTGTTCAAAGCACTTCACACACATTCCCTGAGGCTACTAGGCCACTTATTTGGAAGCAGGCCTAGTGGAATTCCATTCCATTTGCTTCTGAGTAGACATGGTTAGGGTTGTGCTGTTATTTATATTTATGTTTTTGCAATAGCCCTGTAAGGTCAGTTAGAATGCCCATACAGCAGGTGGAGAACTCAGGCTGAGAGGAAGTGATTTGCTTAAGGCCACAAACAGAGCAATCCTATACTGAGAGGCAAACCACTTAGATGTTCACCAGGTTATACATAGGATTACAGCTGGACTGAGTTCATGGCAGAAGCAAGATATGAACCTGGTTCCATCTCCCACGGTGCTTCCTGGTGGGGGCTTAATTCGCAAATGGGTCATTGGCCACGACAACAGTAAGAAACTGGATTTTCCACTGGAAAGGGTGAATGTGAATTAAATGGAGGGGGGGAAGGCTGGCATTTTAATGCCAACGATGTTGTCTAGATGCCACAGAAACTTAGGTGCAAGAGGAGCACCAATCCTCTAGTAAACAATCATTTGGAAGCAACCTTGGGGTCCAGAGTTGCAACCCACTTAGTCCAGAGCAGTCGGGTTCATGGGGATGCAATGATGGAGGAAACTTCACCTGTAGCATTTTTGCCTGCCCTGCAGCTGTTCGATGCAGGAGTCTTGATGTGAAGAGGCAGGGGAAGGATCAGGGGGAAGGCCTAACCAAACAAAACACGCTGTTTTCTCAGGGCAAAGTATGGAATCGGAAAGAAACCGGATTAAGGTACCCGAATCGATGTCTCTTATCTCTTCGCCGCCGCCCCCCTACTTTACCAGCCTCCTCCGCAGCCCTTTCTAATTATCGTTTATAGCTGTGCTATAAAAAAAAACATAGAGGAGGGGGTTTTCTGTTTAAAAGAACGATTTGCCTTAATTTAGCCGAGAAGAGCGAGAGGGAAGGGAGCCTCCAGTGATCCTAGATGCCCTTAAAAATAACTGAGCCAGGGGAGGGTTATAAAGCAAAAGAAAGCAGGAGTCCTTGGGCATAAATCAGCGGTGTCAGGGATTACTAGAAAATCTCCGCGCTGGAAATTCTTTGAGCAAGGGAGCTTTAAGGGTGTTAGGAACGATCGTGCAAGGGGCTCCAGGATTTATTGCAGAAGGCCAGGGTGTTGCCGGGGGGGGGGGTTACTCCTAAACCCCACCCCCCCATCAAGTCCCCTTTTTGCAGAGACAATTCCCGGCTGCTTCTTCCAAGTGGAATTTCACCCGGCGCCCAGTTGATTAACCTAGCCCAATCGAAAGGCCGGGTAAATTGAGTATTAGGTTTTATGGGAGGGAGGGGTCTTCAAAGACACGAGCGCGCGCGCGCACGAGATTTCATCGCGGCTCTAATGGGAGTGCCCCGGAGGCGCGCGCGCGTTTAAAGTGAGTAAAATGAATCAATTACATGCCGCGATCTCGGGGAGCAGCGCTGCATTATTACCCCCAAATTCCACCCCTTCACAGAAAAATAAAAATAAAATAACCTCCTCCGCAAGAACCTGAGAAAGCGGCTCTTTAATAGGGGTTATTTGAATGCAAAGTTGAATTGTTCCCGAAGTACTTTCTGACACAAAACAGATGCCACTGGAGAGCGAGAGAGAGAGAGGAATGAGGCTGAAACGAGTTTTGCTCGTTGGCATCAGATTCAGGCGGGGATCTTTAAAAAAAAAAAATCCGGTAGAAAGCAGACAATAATTGGAGCAATAAATATTCGGCATTTAATTTTTTTTTGGGGGGGAGGGGAGAGAGCCACGGCGTGAAAAATGGTTATGAGCTTTCCAAATTCCAACTTGATGAGCGGAGTCTGGCCGCGCCGCCGATGGAAGAAATGCAACCCCCCCGACTTCCCGCCCCCGGGATCCCGAATTCCCCCGCGACGGAGCTGTTGACATAAACAGTTAGGAATGGGCTTTTGGGCACGGCTGAGCCAGTGGCCATCAGACGCGGCGGAGTCTGCATTTCATGTTGTCACATTTCCTTGTCAAACCCCGGGGTTTCCTGCCTTTTATGGAGGGCGAAGGCGAGCGACTACTGGGGCTCTATTAAATCAAGGCGTCGCCTCAATCCGGAGTTTGCTCAGAGAGAGAGCTGGGGGGGGGAGAGACGGGGGGGGCGCTGTTCTTGGCAGGCTGGATTCGCGTTGACGCACGCGGCGGACACCCCCGGACCGAAAAGGGACAGCTCTCCGATCCTGAGCTTGTTGCTGGCTCCAAAGCAAGGCCCTCTGAGCTCGGCGGGCCACCTTTCCAGCGCCTCGTGCGCACAGGATTGCAGCCCAAGCGCTTAGTCCGTTGCGCTAACCTCGGTAGAACCTCCTATGCATCTTAATATTCCAGGAGTTTCAGCAGGAGCGCGCTGAAAGTTAAGTGGGCGTGGGATTGTAGGTTTGAGGTCGGAGGTGCCATCTCGGGGGGGCTCTAAAAAGGGTGGGAGGTAGAGAAGGAATATCAGTGGCTACAACTCCTGATGGCTGTGTACTGTCGGAGGCAGTATACTGGGGATCGCAAGTGGGAAAGAGGCTGTTGAGCTCAGGTCCTGCTTGCGGGCTTCCCACAGGCATCTGGCTGACTGCTGTGAGAACAGGATGCTGGCCTAGGTGGGCCACTGGCCTGATCCAGCACGGCTCTTATTATGTATGTCCTTACAGGGTGTATTGCTAAGCAAGCCGCAAGCACAGACGTGTTGAAATCTGCCAGAATGCAGGCCTCATGTCTCGTGGGTGCCCCCTTATCCCCCTCCAAATGAAGTAACTTTCGATAACAGCAGCAGGTCTTTACCGAATTTCATTCCAGGTCCTCCTAAGCATCTGGAGAATGGAGGAGATAAGACTCGGTGGGTTGCGTAACTCTCGCACTGCAACATGTCTTGTCGTTGACTTCATAGCGACAGCGGCGAAGATCTGACCTTTCGATTGCAATCCTACACATCTTCCGACCTGGGAGCAAATCCTATTGAAGTCAAGGCGGCCTAGGCCTAGGGAGACACATAGAAGATAGCAATGTCCCGGCCATGGTGGGGAGGATGACCAAGAGATTGAGAAGAAGAAGAAAAATGAAAGGACCTCCCCGTTCCCACCGTGTCTTCTGTTTTAAACCTCATTTTCAATAACTGGCTTATTTGGACCTCAAAACAATATACAGTACACTTAATCTGAGAGTTAGCTCCATTGAACTCAGCGGGGCTTACTTCTAAGGAGAGCATGCATTAATAGTTATTAATAGTTCTGGGCCGGATCCTCTTTATATATGCACATATAACCCAGCCCATCTCCTTTAGGACAATTTCTGGTGTGCCCTGAGATTTCCATTTACCTAGCCACATAAAATCAAACTCTGTTCAAGGATCTATCACACGTCGCTGAGGTTCGATCTGCTGGCTGCCTACTGGGGCAGCTTCAGTTATTCAGTTCAGTTCGCCACCTGTCTCGCGTGGGTGGGAGAATTTGTGCCCACAGTCCGAAAGTGAGCGGTGGGTCGC